TGAGGAACCCACCCCCAAATTTTGTAGAAGTATTTTTGATACACCATATATATATATATATATATATATATATATATATATATATATATATATATATATATATATAATGTCACCCAAGGAGAAAATGATTTTGATTTTATTGAGTTTCTTGCAAAACTCACTAATGGGACCATTCTTACGCGCACGCGTGTGTGTATGCGTCTGGACTATTTCAAAATAAGTTTGTCATTTTATGTGTGGTAGTGGTGACATCTGACTATTGTAAGCATAATTAACGCTGACAGAAGACAGATAAAGGGTCTGTGTATATATTTCAGTGGCAGAGTTTCCAATATGAGAATAATAGAGTCGTCTATAAGCTGTAAAAAGAGAGGGTGAGGAAGACAGATAGACAGAGACAGTGTAATTGAAAGAGAAGGGACAGAAACAGTCAGAGCAAGTAAAAGAGAAAAAAAGAGATAGACCCAGAATCAAGTTAAATTCAGCCAGGTTGTTATATTATTGATTTCTTACACACACACACACACACACACACACAGAGAGAGAGAGAGAGAGAGAGAGAGAGAGAGAGAGAGAGAGAGAGAGAGAGTTTTGTTTAAAAAAGATTCAGTTACTTAATATTAAGGGAAAAGAGCTGAGACAGTGGTACCTTAGTCTCCTTCAAATTTGATTCTGGGAAAGAAACAAAATGTGGCTGAGCATGCGTCTGCAACAGGGATTAGCTTGAATTAGCTGCCATTATTATTATTATTATTATTATCTTCCTTTTTTTCATACCATTCTTTCTTTTCAATCAAAGATCTTGCATTATAAGAGTTTTCTATCAAGTTGTATGACCTCAGAGGACACATTTTGTAGATTGTTTGCAGTACCAAGCAACACAGACACTTAAAATGATACGAGGTTTTATTCTTATTATTTATCCGTGTTCTTGTTCTTCTTCTTATTGATTGATTTGGTTTTTATGGCTTATCAACCCTTTCCTGGTTATTTAAAACTGAATCATATTTTGTATTATAAGTTTAATTATTTTCTTTTTTTGCGAGTGAATATTGCATTAACAATAATTTTTCCAGATAGAAGTCTTACTATTTAATCCAAAGCTGAGGGAGAACAGATGGATTCATACCTTTCACAAGGATATTATTATTATTGCTATTATTATTATTCAGTTTTTTAAAAAAGGCAAAAAAATCAAAAGAAATCAAATAAAAGTTCTTGAAGTATAACTATTCATCATGTAAAATAAGTGTTCTTTCTCGCATTCTAAGTACTGAGTCAGAGAGGGGAAGGGAACTATATTGCAGCCAGACATAAAAACAAGTGTACACCGAATGACATTATTGATTGCAAACAATTCAAAGTTACTTACTTCCTTTGATGTACGAAAATGTCTTTACAAGTGTCTTCTTGTCGATATTAGAGAGTGACTACTTTTTCAAAAGCGATAATGGCGAAAAATCAAATGAAAACGTTCAATATTAGACGTTGCACCAAGATTTCTTGTGAGGGCAGAGTATGGTTAGGTGTGTCACATCCTTTTAGTCATTGGTGATGGAGCTATCTCAAAGACAAAACAAGACATTAGAAGAATTCTAAGTACTGCTAAATCGGAGGTGATCTACTCAGACACCATGAAGCATCTATGGATGTTGCAACCAAAGCCAACCTACTAGCTTCGTTTCACACTATTTCTTATACAGTTTATGATTCTAACAAATTTTTTTGGTCAGGAGGATCAAATTCTGTACTGACCATATTTTGGTAAGCGCCAATTCCAGTTCCATTTTTGCTAAAACTTTTTTCTCCTCTTTTCTCCTCCGCACATCCTTTTTTCTATTTCTTATTCAATTTCTCTTTCTCTTTATTCCCTCCTTTCTCAAACAGCTCATTGCCCCATTTTTTTGTAAGGTGATCACTAATGGGTTATAGGTCACGTTAATGTGTCTCGTGACACATTAGGTTCGTAGGTGTGTGTATGAAGGACATCACATCTACTAGAGAGGTGTGTCTAGTGCCCATTAGCCTGGTGGAGCCCATCCCTCTACAAACTGTCTTTGAATTCAGAGTTTTCTTCTCCTAGACTAGTTTCCACATTAGGGCAAAAGAGCTTGGTCTGCCTTGATATTTAACCCATAGCTGGAGGGAGACAAATTCCTACCGTTTCCAAATGAATGATTGACTCATGTTTTTCGCAAAGTAAACGAAAATGAATTTACTTGAACTCAGAATGTCAATTTCAATTTTCCGAGCAGGTGACTGTATTTTCTACGTCATATGTCATTAATTTATACCGGGACATTAATTGATTTCTAAATATGATTTTTTTTAGAAAACTATAATTTATACCCGGATGTTTATTGATTTCTCAATCATAGAAGAAGTTTTTTAGAAAACCATAATTTATACGGGTATTTTTATTGATTTCTAAATAATACAATATGTTTTTAGAAAACCATAATTTATACGAGTTTTTTTTATTGATTTCTAAATAATACAATATGTTTTTTATAAAAACATAATTTATACAAGTATTTTTATTGATTTCTACATAATACAAGATGTTTTTTATAAAAACCATAATTTATACGAGTGTTTTAATTGATTTCTAAATAATACACGATGTTTTTTAGAAAACTATAATTTATAATGGTATTTTTATTTTTGAAATTAATACTAGATTTTACGGTAGAGATTAAGCAAATCTTTGAAGAGACAACTATAAAATTTGATACCAAGTATTTATTGGTTTCATTGTAAAAGACAGAGAGCTTAGCCCACATATCCTCTGAATCCTTTTCAGCAAGCCAGGGCAGTTTTTATCCTCCTTATACTACATTTGCAGGGTAGTTGTTATTCTGAAAGGTATATTTGATAGCGTTCATCTCTTCTTGGTATGTGTTTGGGTCACCACTTGTGTTTTTTTTCATGGTATTGTAGGCATTGGATGTTTTCTTTCTTTGTGATGTATGGATGGTGGGAATTGAAAAGGTGTTATTCAGTGAAGCTTGGCCTGTTGTATATGAATATCTTGAACGCATACTCTGAGTACAATATCTAGGAATGGTGCTGAATTTTGCTTTCTTGAATTTTCTTTTATTTGACCTACATCAGAAGCATTCAGGCTCTTCAACAAACTTCTACTGAAGTTATTGAATGTTTCTCTTTGTCATTCAAATCAACCTTACAGTCCGATTTAATTTCACAGTGTGGCTATCAAAATTTCAAAATTTAGGACATTTCATATGAATACCTGCATTGAATTTACATCTGTGCAGAATGAATTAGCTTCACCAAGCTCATTAGAGCAGCTAACCAATCCCTGTAACAGACTCCTGCTCAGGTACATTTGTCTTTGTTCAGCACTCACAATGTCCAGCTGTGGTTTATACTGCAACTCTCTTTTGGCTAGATGTAACTGTAAGTTATATGCTAATAATTTCTTTTCTCATATTCTCACTTGTGGAACTCCTTTCTGGCTGCTTGCTTCCCAGCCAACTTTGATTTTTTAAAAATTAAATGCAATGTCAATCATTATCAACTGTCTTGTTAATTCCTGTTCTTTCTACCCCTTGCATCTTAGTGGCTTTATTGCCTTGCTTGGGTGAAATGATTAAAAAAAATATGTTTAGCAAACTGAAGTTATAGTTTTTGGGAGATAGCATATATAGTGGCATGATCCACAGTTTGAATAAGGTTAGTATTCTGAAACCCTCGGTCATGATGGCTTGGGACTTTGTGTTAGCATAACTATCTATGACTTTCAAATAATTTCTTTAAATTCCAATTATTTATATTATATATCGATTAATTATGTGAAACACAATTTAGATTTGAATATTTCATTCGTTCATCTTACTTATTATAAAACGCAGATTGTGTGTGTGTGTGTGTCTGTACGTTTATATATTGGATTGGATTTCCTACATTTTTCAACCGATTTCAACAAAACTTCACAGGACTATGTAAAATTTGGTTCTGACAGCGCCAAAAATTGGAAAAACACAATTGTTTCTGCACGAAATCAATTTGAAAACACAATTAAGAGGCGTCACGAGAATGAAAGGGGGACAACTCATATCGAGTTACACTTATTATAAAACCTAGGTTGTTTGTGTATGTGTGTTCGTTTATATATGGGATCGCATTTCCTCCATTTTTCAACTGATTTCAACAAAACTTCACTTTTTTTGGCAGGTAGTATTTCTTATTGTCTTGCACACTTTTTTCTTTACTTTTACATTCAGAATGCTTTAAAAATTCCATTTACAAGACTATTGTTTATAATAAAATTCTATTCAATCGGTAGACTCATAACGATTGAAAACAATGTTTTTGTTTGAGTTTGGGTTCGACCAATTCGTAAAAAAAAAAAAAAAAACTAATTAAGACATGCGTGTCCGTCAACCTTAAACAATAATCTTTGTCAATTTTATTTTTCAGTCTTTATGATGGTCGATACTTGATCTATCTCTTACTGTTACATCCCCGGGCAACGCCGGGCTCTACTGATCGTCAGATTTAAAATCCCTTCATTTATTTTTATAGAAAACTTTTATCATCAAACTTTACACCATGTTACCAATACATTATGAACTATATTTAAGCAAAAGTATTGTACAGTTATGTTGTGTATATTAGTCAATGTTTGCAATTGAGCTTCTCAGTAATATTTTCAGTTCCCTGCTATGGAAGGGAGACAGAACACTTAAAGCTGAAAGTCATTTAAACATGTTTAGCTGTTATTTCTATGGACAAAAGTTTCAACATTGGAAACTGTATAAGACAAATGAAAAGGAAAAGAAAGAAGGAGAATGAAAAAGAAAAATAAATTAAAGAAAGAAGGAAAATGAAAAAGTACAATAAATGAAAGAAAGAAGGAAAATGAAAAAGAACAATAAATGAAAGAGAGAAGGAAAATGAAAAAGAATGAATAAGGAAAATGAAAAAGTACAATAAATGAAAGACAGAAGGAAAAATGAAAAAGTACAGTAAATGAATTAGAGAAAGTAAAGGAAAAAGTACAATATAGGAAAGAAAGAAGGGAAATGAAAAAGTACAATAAATGAAAGACAGAAGAAAAATGAAAAACAATAAAAGAAATAAATTAAAAACAATAAATGAAAAAAAGAAAGGAAATTAAAAAGAAAAATGAAAAATAAGAAATGATAATATAGAATGTAAAAAAAAAAGATGAAAAAGAAAGGAAAATCTAAAAACGAAGCAAAATGAAAAAGATATCGGAAGAAATGAAAAATAAATAAAGGAAGAAAGAGTGAAAAATTAATAAAAGGAGAATGAAAAAGGAATAAGAAACAAAAATGTAAAAGCAAAAATATGAAACAAAAATGAATAGAAGAAAGTTCAAGAAAGAAAATGAGAATAATTAAAAGGAATGAAAATGAAATATTAAAATCAAGGAAAATAAAAAAGAAAATGTAAGAGAAAGTGTTATGGGACCTTACATGTTAAACCGACCTTGTGCCACATGATACCCTCGTGGTGGGATGACTAAATACTGTTCAGTCTGAAGTCTGGAGTGAAGTCCGTCAGGAGTCTGTCAGTCCGAGCAAGTCAGTCAGTCAAGTCAGAGGCAGTCTGAAACAGAGTCGCGTTCAGACAATTATTACTAAACCTGACTGTTCGTACTAACACTTTCTACTTCTCTGTATATATTCCTGTTTGTAATATATCTGTGTTATTTCATATCCGTGTTCATGTTCTTCTTTATTGGTTCTACCTTGGACTATCACCGTGGTACAAGGAACCATAACAGAAAGTAAGATGAAAAAAATTGAAAAAAGTAAGGAAATACAAAAAAGAATAAAATATGAAAAAAGAGAAAAATGATAAAAAGAAGGAAAAATTAAAAAGAACGCAAGGAAAAAAGTAACAAAAAAAAAAGAAGAAATTGAAAAAATAAAAGAAAAAAATGAAAAGAATTAAACTAGGATTCAAATCCAGAAGGATCAAGAGATTTTAGACATCCACCTTTATTTATCAAATCTACCAAGCAACCAATTTTAATGTTCCTACTTTAACCAACCAAACAACAAATAGTTCTTTGTCTTCCATTATTGATTCAACCCAGTGTTTAATCTTCACAATGCTACAAAATGCCAGGCATAGACACAATAGCACTGAAAATGCGCATGCAACATCTAAATGCTGAAACCAACTACAAGTTAACTAAAAGCCATTGCAATGCGCCTTACATTGTCATCATAATGACTGATAGCAAACCAGATTAATGTCTTCTGACATTTTTATGGTTACAACTAATACATAAATTTCACTGACTAATTTCGGGTGAGTGCTACAAAATTAAACCTGTTCTACCTTAAGTATATTGCATTCGGTTTCAGCTGACATTTGCAAATCATAGTTATTGCAGTTATGGATGGAAACCAATTCTTTAAGGATCTTTTAGTAACATTACGGCTTTAGCCTTTCTAGAATGGATCTATTTTATTTCTTGTTTCTTTCTTTCATTGCATCAGTTCTTTTCTGACAAATTTTAATGCTGATTATTAATTTTAATTAATAATTAAAAAAAATTAAAAAGATAATTAAAATTAATTAATTATGATTAATTTTAAGGCTAATCACTAATTTCTTCAGTCATTATGGCCATTATTTTTTAAAGGTTTTATGCTTTATTTTAACTTTTTAGACTCATTCAGAGGTAAATGTATCTTAACAGTTATCGACATGGAAGATGGAATCAGTAGAATGAGTTCAAGCTTGGGCTGTGGTAGTGTAAATTTTACTTAATTAAGCTAATTAGTAAAATTCTATACAATTGATACCACAGTTTTTAGCAGTGACTAGTGTGCTGTGAGAGTATCATAGAAGTGCCACAAACATTTTTTAAGGTCATTATTTAAATTATTTTCAAAAATATAAGCATGATAAGTGTACATATCAAAATGAATGCCCTATTATCGATTATTAAAACAATATCGAGATATAGATATAAAACAATATTGAGTTCAGAAAATCTTATTAAATGTTAAATTATAATAAACATAAAAATAAATATAAGCTTTTTTTAAGAATTTTAATTATCATTTTATTCCAAATTATAATAAATTGTTTTGTCTGGGCAAGAAATCAACCCTAAAAAGCATGCTTTTTTTTATCCTTTTTTACATCAGATATATTATTCTGGAACGGGAAAACTAAAGCCAGTAGTAGAAAATAACCAAAAATCTGATGCACAATTTCTAGTGTATGAAGGACATGCGTCTGTCAGCTGATCTCTCCTCTGGTTGGGATTGAACAGCTCAATGGAGGAAAAACTGTCTAATAAGATTCTATACCTACAAAATGAAGCTAGTAAATTTTCATCACCACAAATCAGTCCCTGAATTTTCAGCTATTATGATGAACAATTGTACTTGCAATGACTCCTCTTGTTTTGAACTTTTATTGTAGAGTTTTTCAACCTGTGAGCAGTGGCACACTTGTGTCCCATGAGAGGATTGTAGGTGTCTGGTGAAAGTTTTATAAAGGTCATTGATTAAATTATTTTTGAAAGAATTCCCAAACACAATAAGCGTACATATCAAAATTAAAACCCCCTTTAACTTTATTATACGTCATTGTTATAATAAATAAATGTATATACAATTTATAAAATAATATAAAAAACAAGTTTTTTATTTAATTAAATTATATTAAAATCCCAAACCAATCATGTCTAGAATCCTTAGAAGATTTAAGAGTATGCCCATCCAAAATTCGTCCTTGCAAAGAAGGTAATCTTAAAAAAAAATGTCAAATTATAATAAACAAATAAATAAATAAAGTTTCTTTAAAGAGTTTTAATTATTATCTGTTTATTACAAATTATAATAAATTATTTTTTAAATTTTTTCTTACTAATGTTCACCCAATACCAGGCCCAAGAGCCACTCAAAGTAGAGGATTACTGTGTCATGTTGTATGAGTGTAAATAAGGACAAGAAGTTAAGTTAAGTTCTTGGGGACCATGTAGGAAGGATAACGGCTAACTCTAGACTTGAAAAGGTCAAGATTTAATTAGTGAATAAAATTTCAGAGTTCAGTCTGAGGTGTTAGAACTATATTGTGGAAGTAAACTTTAGAAAATCAGTCCTAAGCAGGAAACGATGGACCAACCTCTACTGTTGTTCAAAAGGCTGGGGAGGAGTGTGAACTGGATGATAGCCAAACCTATCTACTCCTATTGGGGGAGAAGAAAAAAAATTCGATAAAATTTCAGTGCTCAGTCAGAGACATTAGAAGTATAGAGCTGAAGTAGAATTTAAATGGAACCAGAAACCCAATCCTAAATAGAAAACAAAGGAAAAACCTCTACTCCTGTTCAAAAGATCTGCAAGTAGTGTAAACCATGTTGTAGCTGAACCCATCTACTCTTTAATAAATAAATCATAAAAGGTATACTCTTTTTTAATTCTTTTTTGATATTCATAATTTAAGTGTGCCGTGGAAGTTTAACGATAGGTTCCAGTGTGCCATGAGATAAAATGTTGAAAATCATTGGTTTATAGATGCACTTCCAAAAAATCAAATCATCCAAACCTTGGAGCTGATCTCTCTTCTGGTCAAGCTTTAACAGCTTAATGGGGAAATAACTGGCTTGCAACTTTCACTACCTTAAAAACTAGTATTGTTTTATCATCACAATTCAGATCCTGAATTTTCTCCAGTTATCATGAATGATTGCACTCTCAATGAGGTTCTATGCCTTGATTGTTTTCACTCCAGAAGTGAAGTGGAACTCATATCTATGATCCATTGTTCGAGGTGCAAGAAGAATGGTTGGTTTATTCTGTTGCTCCAGGAAGTATCTAGTTCCTTCTATGATATATCGTTACAAAATTCAGATGAGACCAAAAATGGAGTATTGATGCTGAATATCTGGGCTGAAACTGCTCCACAGTGTCAAATCACAGTGCAACCGTTGGGTTTCAGCAAAGACCATCCCCCTTCAAATTGCATGGACTGGCACTATATAGAATCACAAACAAAGAATTGCACCAACTAGCAGAAACCACATCACTTGAGAACTTCCAGCAGCAGCAACAGCTAAAATGAATAGCACAGGTAACTTGAAGAGGAAATAATGACATAATCAAAATGTTGGCATTCCACACTACTTCAGACAAAAGGTTAGAAAAGAAAGCGAGTATTTCAAACCAAAAAAATTCTGATTTCTTTTTAAATTTGTAAATCTGATGAATTGGATTGTATTTACAATTCCAATGTAATAAATTATGATCATGGAGTACTAGTGTTTAAGCCTTTTTATTATATCCTTACTCTGTCCTGGACATTAAGTTCTACCTGGATTCTATCCTCTTGGAATTCTTTTATATATATATATATATATATATATATATATATATATATATAATGTGAAAAGTGTATATAAATATAAATAAATATATATATGTATAATTATTTATATATTATATGTGGTAATACGACGGATGACCAAGTATGTATATGTGTCTGCATACATCAATGTTTGTGTTAGTACGATGACATAAGCGACGAAGTTTCCCCCACCACTTCCACAATAACACCAATACACGCAATCTACATAAACCCAAATTTAAAAAAAATTAATCAGTTTGTCTGACGATCATAAAAAGCATGAAACCCAGGGTCACAAACTCACATCTATCCAACCAAATATATATATATATATATATATATATATATATATATATATATATATATATATATATATATTTTATATAGATATACAAAAGAATTATTTAACTAATTTTCTCCAACTCCAAAGATTCAAAGTAAAAATCCAGTTAAAATCAGTTATGGTTGTATGAATAATATGGAGGAAATAATAAATAAACATAATAAAAAATATTGAGCAAAAAAAATAGCAATTACAATGACAAAACCCTGCAAAATAGCAACAATAATTGTAATTGTCAAAATAAAAACAACTGCCCACTTTATAATAAATGTCTAACTAATAATATAATATATAAAGCAACTGCATCAAATAACCTATAAAACAGAAAAAAAAATTATATAGAAGCCACTGAAAGAATTTTAAAGAAAGATTTAATAATCATAAAATGTTGTTTAAAGTAGATATATATGAAAATAATACAACATTATCAAAATATATATGGAGTCAAAAAGAAAAATTTATCAGCTAAACTTAAATGGGCTGTCATAAAATGTACTTCATATAATATTAATAATAGAAAATGTAGACTGTGTTTAGAAGAAAACATTTATCTAATAAATTTTTTCAATAATCAAAATAAATTATTAAACAAGAAACATTAATTAAGGAGTAAGTGCAGACATTTTAATAAATATTTACTTTGCAACTTACATACGAATATAACATAATATAACAAATACAATAAAATTAAAATAATATAAATAAATAATAAACAATACAATACATACAGTCAGAGAAAATTACAGTCAAATAATTTTTTATATATATATATATATATATATATATATAATAAAATATTATTATTGCTCTATTTTTATAATATTGAGCACTATATGAAAATATCTGCTTCAGTTTTAAATTTTAAATTTAAATTTATATATATATATATATATATATATATATATATATACAGTAATATAATCGTTAGACATAGTGACAATGGTTTCTTCATCTAGTTAATGTCTTACCATTACATGGGTGGTATTTCTAGGAAGCAGGAAAGGTGGAGTAATATATAGTAGTTTGGATTGAGGAATCTGAGAGCTGAGTTCGAATTCCAGTCAAATCCATTATATTCACTTATGCACAAATACTCTTGGGAAAGGTATGAATCCTCTTCTTCTCCCTGCAGCTATGGACAAATAGTAGTTCAGACTGACTTCTATAGCCTTGGATGGCAACTGGTATACCACACAAAGAAATGGCAAACTACTTTGGGAAAAATCTGCCTTGTCAGTCAAATATCAAAAAGTACATAATCGCCAAAGTGCGTATCAAAACTTAGACACATAACTGACTGATATATGAGAGGTACCTCTGTTGCACCCCATATAAAATAATATAAAATATATTAATGCTAAATATTAAGATATGTATACCACAGAATATCTTGACATATAATAATAATGTGAAAAAAATATCTGTCAATAAATTGTTTAATATTGGACAAAATTAATAATTACTTAATCAGAACTAATGAAATTCAATACTCATAACTTATACATATATATATATATATATATATATATATATATATACACCTCAGCTTAAGTTGTTCCGAGTTAAGTCATTTTCAAAGATACATTGATTTTTCTTAAATATTGTATGGAAAAAATCAAACTTGCCTTAAGTCATTTTACTTAAATTTATGTCTGCTGTTAAAAATATTAGAAATGTGAAACACTGAAATAACAATAAACACAATAAAATCATACTTAAATAAATTGAAAAATAATATTATATATGCTATATATATACACAAACGCATATATATATATATATAACATAAAATCATCAAAAAAAAATTAGCATAATAAAGTATGTCCACCAGATTTTAAATTACTACCAATAGGGGGCACTTGTGTGTTGTTTTTTGCTCCAACACCGATTTTGATTTCATACTCACTTACATCTGTGGTCTGGCATTGACATTCTTCCAATTACATTTCAGTTGTGATTTAGAATACATTTTTTCCCATGGGTCCAAAGAAAAGTCCCAGTGCAAGTGCTAATGCTAAGCATAAGGCTATATCACTGGAAGACAAAGTGGAAATTAATTATTTTATTCAGAATATTGTATGTAATATTATAAAAACTGTAATAGGCAATGGAGAGTGTTTATTTGCAGTTTATAGTATGGTTATTTCGACTTAAGTCATTTTTTGACCTAAGTCATGACCTCTGGAACCAATTAGCAGTATATCGTTAGGTATACCTGTATATATATATATATATATATATATATATATATATATATATAAATTAGCATACAATGAGTGCTGGTGGTTAAAAAATAGTGCTTGATGTAAAATAACAGTACTAAAATTTATAGATTTTTATTTTCTTCAATGATAGTAGAGAGGAATAAAACCTCAATTTATTATTAGTATGTACCTATATATGAATCTTCAGATCATGGGTCACTATTTCTTTAGCACTTACTCAATATATACATAGACTATACCAAAAAATGTACACACACTTCAGTAAAAGGAAAAACTTCTATAGATATTGTAATACAAAATTTACTCAGACATCACAAATTTAATACTTTGCATTCTACAATCATAAGAGATGCTGAAAACCGTGGCCTTTAGTTTCCAGGTATTTATTGGTATGACGAACTACTGCTTGGACAATGTTGGCCAAAGTGTCCAGTGGGATTGCTGTACATGCATATTCAATTTGTTGTCTAAGGGGCGCCAATGTAGACAGTTTTTGCAATATGCAACATCTTTTAGGGTCCCCCAGAAATAAAAGTCTAAAAAAAAGAAAGACAAGTTTTTCCTTTCCTGAACTGTGTATACATTTTTATGGCAGATTCTGTATATATATATATATTCTTTTAAGGATTGTGGACTTTTCCATTTACTTCTCAGCCCTTTGCAAACATCTCTGGTTTCTTTATTTAGACTGAGAGAATTTATTGAAGTCCATTTTATGAGAAGTACAATTTCTTGTGACTAAGAGACCAATTGGCCTCGTGTCATTCAGCCGACACAATGACTATTAACTTTACTACAATTTCTGAAGGCAATTTCCCAAATCCTTGATAAATGAATATGTCATAACAAGGCCACCACAGCTGATAGCAATTTTAGATAATGTCTTAAGCACTCACGTAAAGTGCAAATCTAAATCACTTGAAATTCATCTCACCTCTAAAAGTTTTATTGATACTTGTGGCACATAGTTAAGTCTGGCACAAGGTCACATTTATGAGTGATACTAATCATTGTACAACAGTGAGTGTTCCTTTTATTTTAATTATTAATTATAATCTTCATACAGAGTGGATAGATGGTTATTTGTTGGAAAAAAGAATAGGCAGAGTGAGTTCAAACTCAAGGTGGGACTGTTTAAATAGCACAGATACCCTTAGGAAAGGCATGAATTTACTTCTCCCTAAACATTTTCTCATTGCAAGAGATTAAAGCAAAAAATTTTTATCACTGGTACACCACATGGATATAGCATACAGCTGGCAGCAAAAATAGTGTGTATGACCCCCCGCCCCATCGACAATCGTGTAAGTTAATTGAAACAAAATGAATAATTCTGTTATATTTACTTTTTTTGCATCTTTCCAATGAAACATGACCCAGTGAACATGTTAGTACTTTGTAAGTCCATTCCATGAAATCATTCCTTGCAGATTGACCACAGCTTCTCGATTGGATTTAAATAAGGAGAGATACCAGGCCAGTCTATAGTACTTTGATTTGCTCACTGGTAAGGTTTGCCAGTGTGTTCATGCAGTGCTACAATTTTTGCATGCTTCCTTGGAGCAACATCCATCACCGACAATGGTCATAGGACAACTAATTGACAGTCAAGACAATAGTGTGATGAAAATCTGATGCAGTCACAGATGATACAATATTTTTCAAGGCCAAAGAAATTTCATCATACACCCTCCAAATAGATTCATATTACTGCACACTACTGTAAAGGACCTGATCTGAAGAAAAAAATAGAAATCAATTACACCCTGTCACTCCAATGGGTCTAAAACTGACCGTATGGTGAAAGAAAGGAAAATAAAGTGGTTGTTTCAACTGATTTGCATAAGGGTGTGCACTCAGATATAATGACAAAGATTGCGTTTCATGAATTTCTGTAGGATAACACTTCTAAAGTGAACAGGCTTTATGAATAAAGTATTCAGTATTAAGAAAATGAGTATTAACAGTAAACAAATAAAATAAAATGTTCAAAACTTAGCTTCCTGACACAGAGTTTCACAGATGTTATCTAATCATCAGAGATGATATCCTCTGATGATTGGGTGGTATCTGTGAAACTTTGAGTCAGAAAGATAAGTTTTGACATTTTATTGCATACATTTTATAGTCATTATTATTTATTTATTATTATTATTGTTTCTTTTTATTGATTCATTTTCTACAGCTTACCAACCCTTTTCAAGTTATTCAAAGCCCAAAATATTTTTTTTAGATTGTAAGAATTTATTTTCTTTTTTGGAGATAATAATGATTTAATGATACAAGTCTTACTAATTAACCCATAGCTTGGGGGAGAAGGGATAGACTCATATCTTTCCCAAGGGTATTTGCTTGTAAATGAATATAATGAACCCAATGGGAATTGGAACTCTGCTCTCTGATTAACAATTTCGAGTTATTATCCATTATGCCATTATCACATCCAATATTATATTACCTAGTATTCTCGAATAGTCAATCATCTAGGTACTGACCAAGCTTGACATTGCTTAATTTTTATTTTTATTGTGTGTTGTATCATCTTACTAGAGTGTAAACTTAAGTGCCTAAATACAAAATCCTGTCTGGGGTCTATGAGCAAAAAGGTCACTATAGAAGCATTATCTATGCTTACTTGGGACGTTTTGTTTAAATAGTGAGGGTTTTGCACATCATATGTGCAGTTCCACAGAAAGTAATCCTCTGTAACTCTGTGATGCTGATGTGCCCAATAATTTTATTCTTATGATTTTCAGGGCGCTTCTTTATCGTATCCAATGCTCCTGTCATTGCTTAAAGCTTCCACAATTTTGTCACTTACAATTTGGCAGTTTTTGAAATTCTTTTTTTTTGGGGGGTTATTTGGGGGGGGTTATTAGAATTTTGTGGACAAGTTCTGTGGAGGAAACAAAGTGAGATATAATAGAGTGGGGTGCCCCATATCATAGTTTCGGTGGGGCCCACGAGACTCTTGCACCAGCCTTGGATAGATAGATAAATAGATAGATAGAAAAAGAGAGAGAGAGAGAGAGAGAGAGAGAGATTCAAATCAATCGATCTGTGGTCAATACAAGGGAAATAATTTATTTAAATCAAAAGCTTCCATTCAATATTATTATTATTATTATTATTTTATGGTAACTGACTCAGAAAGGAAACTACAAGAACGTCTACAGAAGGTAGTGAAGGAAAGCAAGAAGAAAGGACAAATCATCAATTGTAAGAAGACTTAATGCATGGTTGATAGCAAAAGGAACAGCCCAACATGCAAATTACACATTGGAGATACCAAAATCAAACAGGCGTGACAATTTCAATATCTGGGAAACATATTAATGGAGGATGGAAAGAGTGACATGGGAATCAGAAAGCACATTCCCAAAGCTAAGCAAAATATTAAGAAACAGAAAAATATCATTAGAAACAAAGAAAAGATTACTGAACTGTTATGCCGTATCAAGCCTCCTAAATGGCAGTGAATGCTGGACAATCTCCTCAAAGATGAAGAAAAATTTGAAGCAACAGAAATGTGGTTTTACTGAAAATACCATAGACCGAATATTTTCTTATTCTCTTTCAAATTAAAAATGGAAAGATTCCTGAATTTGTTACATTGTTACAGAGCACAGATAAATAACGGCAAAAAAAAAATGCAAAAGACAAGAAAGTTCTAACAACAAAAATTAAAAAAAAAAACAATAAAAGCAGTGACCACAACAAGAGCAGCAACAACAAAAGCAACAACAACAAAAAAGAAAATTTTCTAACAACAACATCAGCAACAATAAGAACAGCAAGAGTAATTATAACAGCAACATTCAATGCAGGTGTGTGGAATAACCAAACACTGGAAAGCCCACATATCTATCCCTGACACATAAACATGTGAACATGATACATACATAATCTGTTGTATCCTTAAAGAGGTTACAAACAGAAAACGCTGGTACTTGAGTGAAGGAACAGCAACATGGGCATAGATGAAAGAGAGGTTTATTGTAAAAGAGAATACACTACTGAAAGACATGGAATCAGGTGACAGGCTAGTAATTCTCAAAGCAAAGTTATTTACCTTACCTCCCCGTTTTTAATGTTGGTTAAAACCGAGCACATAGGCTCAAACAAAAATTTCCCGTAGACCCCATATACATGGGGTCAGGTAGCTGTCTACCACCCCAGACAAGACTCTTCCCTTCATCATAGCCTCATCTGGGTTCCTCTCTGCCCAGAAGGCAGAGAGTTCAACCAACACAGCGGGAGATGAATCTCCAATTCCCGAAGCAAGACCCCAGGTAGATCCTGTGCTCACCATATATAGCTACTGATATAGTCAATCCACATAGGCAATAGGGAGTGTGGGACATTCCATTACAACATAATCTATTATAAGCAGGATATAACAGTAGCAGTAATAAACAACAACAATAATAATAATGACTGTAGAATATTGGTTAGCTTGCAAGTGTCTGACACACAAGTAGACTGATGTAGTCACTTCAAGTTCAATGCAGCCCTGAGTCATTTAACTGCAGGGGCCTTTGTGTAGTTGTCTGATGTCAAAGGTTGCTCCTTTGCTAGTTTCAGGATAGCTAGGGCATGTCCCATGGTTGTGACACCTAGCTCTTTGAGGATTTCCCAGTCTATCATAGAGAAGCTATCCTTGGTAATGCTTTCTTTCACAAAATATTCAGTATAAGTCCTAGCAGAGTCAGCTGGTATGCCAATTTTGATAAGGAACTCTTGCCAATCATTGGATCCTGTTCACAGCGCCATGTAGAATATTGGTTAGCTTGCAAGTCGTCTGACACACAAGTAGACCGATGTAAGTTCAATGCAGCCCTGAGTCATTTAATGGAGAGATATATGGGTGAATAGTGTCCAATCATGCAAATGTGTTGGGCAGGTCCATTCCAGTAAAGTGGACTAACCCACCTGCTGCATTAGGTACTCTCCTATAAATGAGGTAGATTAGCTGGCTTGCCTTTACAAAGAGATACAAGAAGGCAGCCATTGTTAGCAGGTAAGTCATTTGACTTCTACAATGACAAAGATAACAATAATAAGAAGAATATTAACAGCAAGAAAAACAAGAAAAGCAACAATAATAATAATAACAACAATAAAAGTAGCAACTGTAAGGGTAAGAACACCAGTAATACAAACATTGGTAGCAACAATAAGAAGAAGAACAATAACAAAAATAATAAAATAATAACAAAAAAAAGATAAATAATAGGAACAACAACAGCAACAACAACAACTAAACTGTAACAACAAAAACAGCAGCAGGACAACAAAAATAATCATGGCAAAAGAACAACAAAATCAAAGCAGTGACCATGATGAAAGCAACAGCAGCAAAAGTAGCAATAAAAAAAAGAAACATTTTTAAACAACAACAAAACCGACAACTTTCACACTGCAGCCATGTAGGCCAACCAAACATTGGACCCTACCACACACATTAGAGTACACACAAACACAATCTGTTATAAGCAGAATATAATAATTATTAATAATAGTAATAATAATAAAAATATCAACAATAATAATAATAATAACAAAATGTGCCTTTTTATTGACACGACAGTCTCTGCAAACTGCAATGTATCTTTGATGAGCTCCAAAAAAACTATCAAAATACAAAGAATTGAAATCAAAATCTCCAAAATGTGGTATGTGAGGGCATCAATAAATCCAGTTGTAGTTGGAGCCCTCAGATTAATTAGAAAAGATTCCAATTGACTCACTGAAGGGGTTCCTGGTAGCCCACGCCATAAAGAAATATAAAAAGTTGTACTCACAAATACAGCCCACACCTTATGAAGGGCTTTATCTATATAAAATATGTATGATCATAAGTTGAGTTTTTTTGTTAAGAAATACTCAGCATAAAATGTTACAATGCCATTTCTGACCTTAGGTCTCTGATTGGACCAAGAAAGAAATGAGTTCACACCAGAAATCAAAGGAAATAAAATAATAATAATAATAACAACAACAATAATAATACATTGACAATTATGTATAGACTTGGTTTCAATAATGTGAACATATGGTGTTAGCTGAAAGAAACTTTTAGAAAATAAAGAGGATAAGATATTCCAGATTTTTGCTAACATGTCTGGCTACATGTCCGGCCACATGTCCGGCCACATGTCTGGCCACATGTTCGGCCAAGCCGTCTAATCAAGAAGAATGGAATTGATAATGGTGAAAAAAAAAGCAAAGTCATCCAGTATTGATGGGAGTTTCTTTCCTAACCTTTTATTTGAAGTAGTGTGGAATGTCAACATCTTCATTATGTCATTATTTTCTCTTTGTGTTAGATGTAGTATCCATTTTAGTTGTTGCAGCTGTTGGCAGTCTTCAACTGATGTGGTTTCTGTTATTTGGTACTGTTTGTTGCTTATGAATCTGTTGTGTCATTCAACAACATTCCAAGAAGGTTAATCTTGCCCAAGGCCATCAGGCTTTACTTGTTCAATGTCTTTTTTCATTACTGATCTGAGAAAGCAGTTATATACAACTGACAGTTTAGATATTTCCGAATGGGTTTTTGTGCTATGTATGACATATATATGAAAGTCTTGATCTGATGAGGCTATTTAAGGACATGACTCGAATTTTCAGCTTGATATTTTGGGTTTGTAGCAAATTGTAGTGTTGGGCAAAACTGCCTCTGACATAATCTATTCTGTCTTCCTTTTCTACTATACTAAATTTATTATAATTGTTTCCTTTTCTCTTATACTAAATTTGTTAAACTGTTTCCTTTTCTATAACTGGAGGATTATCAAGATTATTTCCTTTCTGGAAAAACAGAATCTAACCTTTCTTGAACATCAAGGTGAAGTAATATCTAGTTTTTCAGAGACAGAGGATACAATCTGGGATTGATCTGTGGTGGAAGTTGGTTGGAGTAAAGAAACAAAATAGAAACTGGTTTGGAGAAATGACCAAAGATTTATTTCCATTTACAAGATATAAAAATGTCTCTGGTAAGTCATATAGTGTAACATTTGAATACATGGTGTAATGTGTATACTTAAATCAGCTGACTGCTTGTAGGCTATCAGTTTGGGCTTGGAGGGTTGATAGTGGGGTCCATTCTCTTTCTGCATTCACAGGAGGTTGTTTTCACAGCCTGATGGTTGGATGATGAGGCAGCTATGTTCTCTGCTCTCTCTCTCTCTGTTCTGCTTTCCTTATAGTCTATATAAGGGAAACACATGGGCATAGTTGTAGACATCTGTGGCAAGTGAGAGTCACATAGATAATGGCCAGCACTCTGGTATATTTGTCTTTGCTTTAAAATTTGTTTTGAGTACAGTGCAGCCTGTGTGTGGCTTAGCTAGATGAAAATTACTATGTATTTAGAGATATGTTTTCTAATAATTTGCATAAATTTGACTTTAATTTGTTATCTCTATGTGTAAATTTTTTTTTCTGCTACAGAATCTTAATCTGTACTTCATTTTCTTTATTTCAATCCTAGGTCAGTAGATAATATGGAAGCTGTAAGTAACAACAGGTATTGCTAGTGAATTTATAGCCATATAGTTATTAGTATCAATCAATATAAATTTGTTTCTCAAAACTTGGTGTCTACAAGACTCCTAACAGCTCAAGAACCTTTTGAAGAATTCTTACAGAGTAAACAATGCCATTTTTATGGTGGTCTACAATTTTGGTCTGAATTCCAATTTTTCCTAAGTAATCTTTAAATGTTCATGGTGGTGTTTCAAATACATTCATTACAATAAGAATTAGGACTACACCCATGTTCTATAGATTCTTCTGCTCCTTAGAAAAAATCCAGCAATATTTCAGTTTTTTTCAGTTTCTCTGGAGTCCACTCTTTTATCAGATGGGACAAGAAAATTAATAATTTAACCCTTGCCATTCGGAGTCTGTCTATATTTCTGAGATGAGGTATTATGTACAGTATTTACATTAGTCGGACTACTGTCCTCATCTTCGTCGCCATATTTGTCACAACGTTTTGGCCGTTGTACACTCTGGCCTTCTTCAGGTGGTTGGAATTTCAAACTGAACCCTTTATTTCGATCACTGGGGTAGACTGTTCTAGTTCCATGTGCCATGTTTGATGGATGTCAGTTATCACTTATCTCCTGCTAATTTTCCCTCTGAAAGTTCTCCACTGCCTTAACCAGGTATTGAACTCACCTCCAGTGACAGACCCAAAGAAGGTGAGTTCAATACCTGGCTAAGGTAGTGGAGAACTTTCAGAGGGAAAATTGGGAGATAACTGACATCCATCAAACATGGCACGTGGAACTAGAACAGTCTACCTCAGTGATCGAAATAAAGGGTTCAGTTCGAAATTCCAACCACCTGAAGAAGGCCGGAGCATACAGTGGCCGAAACGTTGTGACAAATATGGCGACAAAGATGAGGACAATATACCGACTAATGTAAATACTTGCCATTCTCTTTATTTGTTACAATAAGGTTTTTGTACTTCAATTGCATGATCTCTTTAGACCAAGAAATTCGATAATATCTTGTGATATTTGCTACCACTTCCTCTGGCTGATGTTCTTGCCATTTCTCTTTCAAGTTGAAGTCAAGTTTATGACATGCTTCCCAATGGATTTTATTACCAACTGAATCATGTCAACACTTATACTCTTTCTTTATCAACTTGAGACATTCATCAAGGATGTTTTTATCTGTCTCATCATCTTGTCCACACATCCTGCATTTGTTTTCTTCTTGTGATTTGTTGATCCCGACTTTGATTGCATTCATTCTGTTGGCCTACTCCTCTATTGCAAATATAAGCACCTTTCTCTATTTATGGAAGCATCTTTCACCCAAAGCAAGCTTTCAGCTCCAGCAGGTGCCTATATTAATATTATTATTATTATTATTGTATGGTAGAGCAATAGATGGAGGCTCGGAATGAAGAATTGTAGAGCTGAGTTTAAATTCTAATTGAGTTCATTACATTCACTTAGGTGCTAATAGTGTTGGACAAGGTATAAATCCAACTCTTCCTGCCTCCAGATATTTGTAAATAGTAGGACAGATTGGGTTCTGTAGCCTTGGGTGGCAACCAGTCTAGGAGAAAGAAAATTCTTAATTCAAAACTGTGTGTAGCCCTAGCATAGCACATATTATTCGGCTAAGGAAAGGATTGTTCACATTGCCTTAGTGATTCCAACTCTTTATTATTATTATTATTATTAGACCACCATTTTTGCAATAATAAATATTTATTAATATTTCTTATATGCCATTTAATTACGTACTTTTCGCTTATTGATGATATTTTTTATTTATTTATTACTTTTTAATATCTCCTGTTTTGCGTAAAAACAATAAGAAACCTTTTGAAAATATAAAGAAAAATTTTTTAAAATTTTGTTGAACAAAAACAATTTTTGGGAGATTAGAGTCATCTAGGAGAATAAAAAAATAAGATGTTCTAAATTTTTCACATTTTTCCTTGTAATGTTTTTCCCTTAATGTCTATTTCTTCATCATTTGAATATTTAGATCATATTTGTAAAAGATCACATAGTGTGTGTGTGTATATATATATATATATATATATATATATATATATATATATATATATATAAATATATATATATATATATATATATATATATATATATATATATATATCTATAATTGTAAATATATATGCATATGAAAAATTGTGTATATACATATATATATATATATGTGATATGTCCCGGAAAGGGATATATTTGAATGAAGTAGCTAAGTGGTTTTGGCTACTATAACCAAATAGAATACGGTAGCAGTAATCGACTGGTACACCTCGTAGTCGCAGGTAAGAAGTGTAGATCAATGGTGTAGTCCAATGGGCATCATTATAGACTTAGCTCTCAGACTAAGGCTCTTCTATACGTCCGGCGGTATTTATGACGGACACCAGCCAATCATATTCAAGTGAGGGGGAACACAGGTGTATGCATATTCCATTATATCAATATGTATAAAGATAAATGACAATAGGAAAATTGTATTAGTAGCCAAGGTGTTTCATCCAATGTGGACTTTTTCAATGCAAAAACAATATTAATTTATTGAAAACAAAGTAACTATTAACAACAAACAAAATGTCCTTAGCAACTATAAGAATTTAGAAAACGTTGTTGTATTCATATTGTCAATGGAAAATTACGTCACGAGTAGAAATATTGTTTTTATTGTTGTGTTGATGGATTCAGACATTTTCTTTTGATCTCTTGATATAGATGTGTACATTGACTTAGGAGAAATAAACCAGTGTTTCAACATGATGTGGTCATAAGTCATGTCATCTGTACACCCAACATTACAACACCTGGTATTCCCAAGCAGTCACTCATGTACGTACTGACCAGGCTCAACATTGCTTAACTTTGATGATCATATGGGAACCAGTGTTTCAACATGATGTGGTCATAAGCCATGCCATCTGTACACAAAAGCTTACAGCACCTGGTATTTTCAAGCAGACACCCATCTAGGTACTGACCAGGCTCAACATTGCTTAACTTCAATGATCATATGAGAACATGTGTTTGAACATGATGTGGTCATAAGCCATGCCATCTGTACACAAAAGCTTACAGCACCTGGTATTTTCAAGCAGACACCCATCTAGGTACTGACCAGGCTCAACATTGCTTAACTTCAATGATCATATGAGAACATGTGTTTGAACATGATGTGGTCATAAGTCAGGTCATCTGTACACCCAACATTACAACACCTGGTATTCCCAAGCAGTCACTCATGTACGTACTGACCAGGCTCAACATTGCTTAACTTCAGCGATTTTAAGGGAGCTACTGTTTAAACATGATATGACAGTAAGCCCCAATCACTATGATCTTAACCTCTTTGAGTCTAAGGTCAAATGTTATCTATCCTACATATCCTCAAAGCCAACACTTCTACTTTTTTACAATAATCTCATTCTGTAATTCTCTACCTTGAGTGGCTTTTGGGCCTTCCATTAGGGGATAGCTGTATAGGTAGATATTGATATCGACATGGTAGGTACAGATTGTTAGGTAGATGCACAAAGTGAAAGAAATCATGGATATTCATATTTATAAGATCATGTGCTTATAAATAAATGTATGTCCATTGAAAGGAAATATGACAAAGATGAACATAAAAGTTTTTTTTCCTTTTCTGAATGGAATAAAATAATATATATATATATATATATATATATATATATATATAATATATATATATATATATATATAATATATATATATATATATATATATATATATATATATATATATATATATATATATATATATATATATATGTGTATATATATATATATATGTGTATATATATGTATTGTATTTCATTTGACTTCAGTGAATCACTAAGATTTTATAGAAACAACCATTTTTCTTCCATTTTTATGATAGTTTTATTCATTCAACACTCCCCCCACCCAGCCCACCTCCCGGTTGCAAACAGAAAAAAAAAAATTCCTTTCTCTTTCCATTGAGGTTTACTTTACAAGACAACCATTGTCAACAGGATTATCTAAAATAGTACCACAGCATAATTCACAGATTTAAGATGCATTTTTTATTTTCTTTTTTCGTTCTCAATCAACATTTCTTTTATTAAATCTTTTCTTCCCTGTTTTATTCTATTTCTTTATGTTAATGATTTTTTTTTCCTTCAAAACCCAAATATTTTTCTTTCTTTTTTTTTTCTTTTTCATTCATTTATTAAGCATAATATATTTTGTTTCCTTTTTGATGTTGGTTTTTTAAATTATTGGCTTTTCTTTTCTTATTTACTTTTTTTTAGTTTTGTTTTTATTTGTTCTAAGCAGTTTTTTTTTATTCTTTTCTTTTCTAATGTCTCCCCACCCCCACTGACCGTTCCTATCAATAACTTTCATCTGGTTTTTGATATCCATTAGAGTATTATACACCGAACAGGAGAATTATCAGTCTGCAAAAGACTGTATTGAATTGAAAGCCAAATATAAACAAATTTGATAGATAGATAGATAGATAGATAGATAGATAGATAGATAGATATGAAAGGCTGAGATAGGTAGATAGATATGAACAAACTGAAATAGATAGATAGATAGACAGATAGATATGAACAGACTGAGATAGGTAGATAGATATGAACAAACTGAAATAGATAGATAGATATGAACAGACTGAGATAGATAGAAATGAAGATAGATAGATATGAACAGACTGAGATAGTAGATATATATATATATATATATATATATATATATATATATATATATATATATATATAATCATTTATTTAAAATATGATTCCAACACGCTACATAAGAGTTCTCATGTTTCAAAACAAGAGCCAAAACTTCAATATATTTATTTGAATTAAATTGAATTAAAGTAAGCTCTGTTCCATCTTCAAGCAAAATTTTTTTGAAATAACTTATTTTCCTATTTTCTATATATTTTTCACACAAATGAAACGTTTCATTTCATTTTTGGAAGTGCTATCTGATGATCTGGTGTCCTTTAAAACTGTTCTGGTGAAAAAGAAATTATTATAATGGCACCTTAAAGTGGTCTGTTTTTCTTTTTTTAAATATATATATATATATATATATATATATATATATATATATATATATATATATATTTAATAGGAGATTGAAACAAAAACAAGTAAAGCAATTTTTTACATGTTCTTGTTTTAATCTCCTATAATAAATTATATAAAGCTCTACTCTGTATTGAGCACTTTTTTAAATAATTAAATGCTACAGACAGTGGAATTATACTCAATCTGTTTTGATCTTATACCTGGATATATATATATCAACATACAGTCACCCTGGCCTTAATTTCCAATAAATCTATTGAATATCAGTTATAATTCAATAGATTTATCATATATATATATATATATATATATATATATATATATATATATATATGATAAATCTGTTGAATTATATATATATATATATATATATATATATATATATATATAGGATTAATGTAAATATAAAATTTGACACTTAGCTCATTGATGTTATATACAGCACTCCAACTTCATTTTTTGTAATCATTTGATCCACTCATCAGGAGGTTTTTGACTGCTGATTTTCTCAATTTCATTATTTTTATTTTAGGTTAAACAATAATAATTTATATCCTTTTTTTATTGGTGTTAGGTTGATGTTTCTCTTCTTTGCATGTGTATATACCTTTACGTGGGTGTATCTCTGCATGTGTAGTATGTTGTGGTTATTTCTCCTTGTCTTAATTCTCTTATCTCCTTATACTCTCTCCCTAGTTTTATCCCCCTTTTTTTCTCTCTTTCTGCTCGGAATAGACACCCTGTTTATTTCTTAAGCAGTATATTTTTGTTTTTTATCTACCAGCTTAAATATGCAAGAACTCATATTAAAGAAAAATATCCACTCTCCAGCAGGATTTGAACCTGCATCCCCCATGGCAAAACAAACCACTGTTAGATCTGACATGCTTTAAACCTTCTTGGACATGTCGTTGATCAAGCAAAGGTAAGTAGTGCTTTATAAATGCAAATCTCTCTCAGACTCTCAAAACATTCATATCTGCTTAGTTTCCTATCCTAATGTAAACAAAGCAATTTTTAAAGAAATGATGGACTTTTATTTATTAACTTGACAAATTTTATCACTTTAAACATTATTATTTTTACTGGCTACCCATATTTGAGAAGATGCTCCATTCATTTATTAAACAGTATATTTATTTATTTCCATCTATCAACTTGAATATTCTAAAAATCTTATTAAAGAAAAATATGTGCTCATCAGCAGGATTTAAGCTCGAATCCGTCTTGACAGGACAAACAATCATTAAATCCAACATGCTTTAGATTTTCTCAGCCACAAAGTGTGTCAGTGATCATGTAAAGTTGAATAATGCCTTATAAATGCAAATCTTTCTCAAATTCTCAAAGCATTTATATCTGCTAAGTTTTGTATCCTAATGTAAACAAAGCAATTTCTAAAGAAGTGGTGAATTTTTATTTACATAACCAGACAGATTTTATTATTTAAATATGATGTAATGGAATAACTAGTCACCCCAATGAATGATTACACTATAGGTAGTAAGTACCTATAAAGTCGAATGCCTACGAGAGATGGGGTAGACGAGAGAAGAGTGAGAGATAGATAATGCAAGCACATCCGACTTTCCAATTAATGGCACTCACTACTAGATTGACCTGTGTGTATAACTGTACCGTATTTCATATTGTACTTGTTTTGTACAATAAACCTTTCTTCTAGTATCCACCTGGTGTTATGTGTTTATTCACTTAGCATGCAATATAACAGTGGCGACGAGGATATTTGAAACGAACTCACATGGAATATAACAAAATATAAAAAATACTGCATAAAATATGCAATTATTACAACTAATTTCTACAGGTATCAGTTATTTAGATTCAAACAAATCAGAGTGGTGACATCTTGTTCACGAGGGAACTGAAAATTTTCTAGTCTCTTGAATGAGGCGCGAAGAGATCACAAGGGAGGGCAGAAAAATGAGGATAATTTTTGATTCTGAATTTGCTCCAAGATACACTAACCAGTGTGTAGTCAAGTTCTTCTCTTCAGAGCAGCTCTTGTTAGCCATATGAACCATCATAGTTGAAAGGGACAAGTAAGAAATGGCTCTGTGTGCATGCATTTAATCCCAAATCATATAAGCTGAAAGGTCATCTTAGTTCCCATGTCAGAAACATTCCACAGTGAGCTGTACCCCAGGATAACACCAAACCTGTATGTGACGCTTGGGTATTTGTTGTCAAAACAAATACAAAGGCAGATCTAAGAAGCCATTTGAAAGAAGCAAGTAAGAGTTAATTTAATAAGGTAGTCAAAATCAAAAACGCAGAATCAAGAAGACAGTCATTATATATATATATATATATATATATATATAAGGAGGCATGGTGGAGTAATATATAGCAGCTCAGATTGAGAAATTGGAGAGCCAAGTTTGAATTCCACTTGAATCCATTATATTCACTTATGTTCTAATACCCTTGGGAAAGGTATAAATCCTCTTCTTCCACCAGCTATGGGTAAATAGCAGGACAGACTGGGTTCTATAGCCTTTGATGGCAACTGATCTAGGAGAAGGACAACTCTGAATTCAAAACCTGCGGAGGGTCGTTTGGGAACCTTGTGGCACGTAGTGCACCAGGTCTCTGTATTCGGCCCTTCAAAAAGTGTGGATGGTCCTGTACAAAATCTTCACCACTATAATCAAATTACATGTCCTGGTGTCTGCTGTCGGTTCCTAGGTACTGAGCTGCTTGACCCTCATACATCGAATACGATGGGAGAGTCGAATATATATATATATATATATATTATTATACTGTAGATAGACTGATAAACATTTTTGCCTGATAATTTTAACTATATCTCTTCATGCTGTGGAAGCAACTCCCAATGTTTTTCCTGATCACTACAATCTTAACTTGTTTAAGTCTAGAGTTATCCATTATCTTATGCATTGAGTTTTCCACTTTGTCTCATTATCTCCATATATATATATATATATATATATATATATATATATATATATATATATGCACATTTCATTGAATATGACAGAACATATAGTTAAAAATAATAATTCACCTCTTAGAACAAAATTAAACAGAGCAAATATTATTTATGAATTTAAATGCCCATTAAGGAATTGTATTCCTGATCAATCAAAATTCATAAATAATTATATAAGCCACACTATTGTTTGACATGCAGACTCACTCTACACCCTTTCTGACCATAGTTCTCAATTAGATCTCATTTAAATATTCATGAAGACCTACCGGACACTATTCGTAATATACTTGTTGACAACACTAATATAATAGCATCGTCTACATGCAAAAAAAGGTTAAAAATAATGGAAGCCTTATTAATAAAAAAAAAAAAACACTTAATAATATTAACTTTGAACATGGACACACTATTTTGACCGTGTTTTGAAAAATGAAAGCACTATATAAATACATACATGCAACAAACTATTTCTTCTTTAACAGTTAAAATATTTAATCCTTGAAAATGGCTAA